CCCCACTGTACTTAATCTGATGAGACAGAGAGTGAGTGCAAGTGGCACCGGCTACATGATCAGTATGCTCCTTTCAGGGTTATCATCCAACAGATGCTGGGTTTTATGGCAAATAATCATCATGTCTGAATTTGAGTAAAAAAGTACAATGCTTTTAGTCATGTTGGAAGAGCCACGTAGCCGTAAATGGACAGGGGCAGCAGGCTTGAAGAAAGTGAAGGGGGCCCTGGCCAGTGTTTCTCATTGGTTGGAGTGTTGGCCTATGAACTGAAGGTTGAGGGTTCAATTCCCAGTCAAGGGCACATACCTGGGTTGCAGCTTCAATCCCCAGGCCCTGATCATGTAGCTGTGGTAGGCAACCAATTGATGTTTTTCTCTCATATTGATGTCTGTCTGTCTGTCTGTCTGTCTGTCTCTCTCTCTTTCCTTCCCTCCTTCTCTTCCACTCTCTCTAAAATCAACAGAAGAAAATATCCTCAGGTGAGGATTAACAACAACAAAAAGAGCCAGGCTGAGGTGGCTCAGTGGTTGTGCGTCGACCTATGAACCAGGAGGTCACGGTTTGATTCCTGGTGAGGGCACATGCCCGGGTTGCAGGCTCAATCCCCAGTGTGGGGCGTGCAAGAGGAGCTGATCAATGATTCTCTCTCATCATTGATGTTTCTATCTCTCTCTCCCTCCCCCTTCCTCTCTGAAAGCAATAAAAAATATATTTTAAAAAGAAATGAAAAGGCATGGAATGTCAGGGAAGTAATTCTACTTCAGGTTCCAGAGTTGTAAAACCACTTCTAAATCATGGCCCCCTCATTTCCTGGCCCATGGTGGAGTGTGAGCTATCAAACTCACAATTTATGAACTGAGTAGCAAATTCCCTAATACCAGAAGAAAAATAAACACGGGATTTGGACAGCTAAGTCACAGAATAAAAATGGCAAGAAAGAAGGCAAAGGTAGATGTGGAAAAATGTTTAAACTCATTATTAACAAAAGAAATAGAAATCAAGTGATACTGAGATACCAGTTTACAATGATAAAATTATGGCGTGTTTAAATGAGATGTGTTTAAATGTTTAAATGAGACATGAAGCAAGCTCTCTGAGACACTACTTGGCAGGACAAACTGGGACAGCCTTTGTGTGAAGCAATTTGGCCATATTTGCCAAAAGTCTTTCAAAGAACACTCCCTTTGACTCAGTAATTTCACTCCTCGGAATCTATCCTAAGGAAATAATCACAGATATGTTCACAGATTTTTTTTTAAAAGCTCATCGTGGCATTATTTATAATAATGACAAATGGGAAACTCCTAAATGTCTTGACAATAGGGGAAGAGTTATGTACATATTATGGAGTCATGAAGAAATAATTTCTAATGATATGAAAAATGCTAATTTAAAAAAGCAGGATTGCAAAACTATATTCACAGTTGAATTCCAGTTATGTTTAAAAGTATACATGCACAAAAAGGACTAGAAAGAAATACACCAAAACACTGACAATGATTATTATACCTTAGTAATGAGGTTATGGATGATTTTTTTTAAATCTTACTTGGTTATACTTTCTCAATTTTCAATAATGGACATGAGTTACTTTTAAAATTAAAAAGCACATTACAGGTATGAAGGGAGGAAGAGGTTTGTTTATTTTCTAAGTTTTCCAAATATTTAGACGTAGAACAGGACATTTGAGAGTCCAATGGTTCTCAACCCTGTCAGCTCCAAACCTCCCTGGATATATACAATGTTTTGTAATAAACCCTTTGCCACCCTGAAAGAAATTTCATAGTTATTATAACCTGCATATACACATAATTTCCAGAAGAGCAGTATAATACACTAACTATAATATAAAGGAGAAATAAAGGGAAAGTAGTTTATAATAAAATAATATGTATTTCAATATGTAAATGCCTGGGCAATACTATACTTGAAGTCAGATGCTTCCACTTATATATGTAGATTCACTGTGGATTCAACTGCTACAAAGGAAGATGAATACAGGTACATTATAATGGCAACTTAAAAATCCATAATGGCATTGCTATTGGTGACACGATTTTCAAAAGTGACAAATGTTATTAAAGTTTTGAACAAAATAAAGTACTATCTTCCCTGAATTTACACAATGGTTGCATTCCTGGAAATTCACTGTATATATTAAAACTGTAAAAACATGTTTTGTGTTTATTTGTATAATAATTAGGCCCAGTTAATTACACTAGGTTTTTCCACTTCCATTGATGTTCTATATGCCATTCGAAAGTTTACAGATACAGATTTTTAGTTTCCATTCTCCTTTCATATTTATTTGAAACATGAAATTTACAATGACTATCTTTTTTGCAAGTTGGGCTTGCATCTTTTAAAGGTAATGAGAGTCACAATTTTAGCCTTTGATACTATTTCTAAAACCTATCACCTAAGAACAGCAAGCGATGGATAAAATGTATTCTCAAAACTGACACAAATGTTTTTTGAATTATTAGAAACATTGCTCTTCTTTAATAGCACCAAAGCACGAGAACAAATTATCATTTTTTAAAAACTATTTACTGTGATCCCTTGGTGATTCTCCCTAGCCTGGCCCCAGCCTCAGGAGTATAAAATAAACTGAGCTGGAAGAAAAGGACTAACAGGGCCAGGTCACAGAGAGAGGGATGGGGTTGCTAGGTTACCACTTGAGCCAATCCAAGTGGTCCCAGAGGGGTACCAGACACTAGACAGGCTCCTCTCTCTGCCCCACTAGGCTGAAAGCCCTCTCAAAGGAAGAGGGTCAAAAGGTGGGGGAGGGGGCCAGCCACTCATGCTAGGCACAAGTAAAGAAATGAGACAGAAGCACAAAGAAGCACACATCCCTGTATTTCTAAAACCATTCAAGTCTTCTTCATTAATTGGCTTTCCCCGAAAAGAAAGGGTTCTTTATTAAGAAATACCAGAGAGTGAAAAAACCACCACACATACATATTTGTAGGTTCACACACAAATGCAGAGATTTACATATTAAATTGCATTTAAGTTAGAAAATAGATTTAAAAACAAAATACTTTTTCTTTCCCCAAAAAGGTAAAGCAATTTGGTCAGTAGGAAAAGGGCCCTTGGGATAAAGGCAGGTAGGTTAGCACAGGAAGAATGGAATTTAGCTGCTATAGAATTAGAACCCACCACTTGCCCCCGGGGAAACAAGCAAAGGGAGAGCGTATGCCTTCTGCTAGGGCAAGGAGGGCCCCAGAGCCAAATGGACATGAAGAAATGGCCCCAAATAGCCAAACCCCACCAACCCCCAAAGCTTTTGGACCTGGACCAACCATCCTCACCTGGGGGAGTGGGGTGCATAGGAAACTGAAGGAATGCAAAGGAAGGGAAGAGAGGGAACGAATGCAAGCCATTTAAAAAGACCAATTCTTCAATCTCCCTTCTGATCAGAAGTCAAATGAAGGACAGTCCCAGATGGTGCATGGTACGAATGGAATAGATCTTCAGGCCAAGGGCTTAAATACAGATTTATATAGGTAAAGAAAGAGGGCAGGAAGCATGAACAAGCAGAAAGCTAAAATATATTATTTCATACAAGAGATAGGAGATTTCCATGTTGACCCTTCACCTTAGAAAGAGAAAGCTCCTCTGACTGACATAAGGGTCAGCAGAAGAGTAGTTGAGGTAATTTAAGGGAGGAGAGAAATCCGTCCTAATCCGGGAGAGAAGATGGGCTGAGACAGGATGGGCTCAGAACTGACTAAAAAAGAGATTCATCTGAGTGGCAGGTTAACTGGAAAAATCTAATAGCTTCCAAACTCTCCAGGGTTGGCGTTATTTTGAACTAACTAAAATGTAACTATAAGGACTGAGAGAGCCAGAAAGAGAATGGTAAAGTAGAGGCAGAGAAGAGAAGAGCCCGAGTCTCTCTCTCTCTCTCTCTCTCTCTCTCCCTCCCTCTCTCTCAACTCAAATCCTGGTATAAGGAAAATAGAAAGACATAGAGAAAAATCTGGAAGCAGCCAAATTTCATTCATTCTGATTAACTGGAAAGAGTAAGATAGGAATTGGCAAGGAGTCTTGATTATAGACCACTTAAAATGAAATATATACCATCACTTGTAAAAGATCACTAATGAAGTATTTCCCAGGAGAGGTGCTGATGTGCCTCCTTTAATAACCAAGACTCATTTACAATTAACGGCATTCATCTGCATAAACACAACATCTCAATAAAGAACTTGTTCTCTTAAGTGAATATACCCCCAACCCTCCCCATCTTGCTAACATTGTATAATGCCTTGAAAGCCCTTTCTTTAGAGTCCAGAATAAGGTGAGCTTTGGCCCAGAATGTAGTAGAAATCAATGGAGAGTTTGGGAGCTATCTCTCCCACTGAAGGGTCCCCCAGAAAATGGAAGTATGGGTAGTAACTAGCAACCCCTTCTACCCCCACCCCAATCCCACCCTACCACACAAAGACCCTCACGCCCCCATGATGATTCTTGAAATGGAAAGGGGAAGGAGGAGGCAGGCAGTTTGCATTAGACACAGTTTAATCACTTTCAAATAGATGAAAAGTTCTGATTTACACGTCCCCCTCCCCGTAAGTCATCCAGACAGGACCCTGGCTTAGAAAGAGAAAAACACAGGTGCTTTAGGAAATATAGCCACATATAATACATAAATCTTCTTCCCTGAAATAGAGCAGGTCCTGAGCAGAGCTGACTGGGGGGTGGGGGGGGCGGTCACAGCCCGCACCCAGGGTGAAGTGGCTCTGGGACTCTGCCGGTGGAAGTGCTGGAAGAGCGAGGCTGGCGGAAGCCCCTGGTGTGGTTATCAAGCCCGAGATGGGCCAAGGCCTTGGAGTGGGTCACCCGGGAGGGCAGCAGTGCTGGGCTTTCCCTCCTCACTCAGCTGAGGCCTACTGGAAGTACTAGCTGTCTTTTTTTACTTTTTCTTTTTTGAGGGAATGTAG